GGGGGCTTGGAGCAGCCTCACGCTGGGTTCTGTGGATGGATGCTGGGTTTGGATTCTGTTGCAAAGAACATGTTTGGCAGGAGCTGATGTAAATGAAACCCAAACAATGTGAAAGGAAGGATACCAGCTGGTATCAATTGAATTCTGGGTCAAAGAGAGCTTTTGGGGCTCTGAGGATCTCTCAGGCAAACTTGACAATTTGAGATCTAGGTTCTAACTTGTTCTCACTCTTGGGTCAGCATACCAGTGTGGTACTCCATTTTACCCAAAAGAGCATGTCCTCAACAACTCAAAGCTCAGAGTCTCATCTTGAGTTGCAGTGTCAGTGGAAGCTTTTTGCATCCTGTGGCTTTACCATTTATCGTTCACAAGTGCATTCATGCAAGCCCCCTAACCACACCTATATAATCTGGGTAATAAGCCCAGCATTCGTGTACAATATGTGACATGTGTGTACCTGCCAGTCAGGAACACTAAGCTAGCCATTCCAGGCCGAGGTTTTGGGGGAAGCAAGTTGAGCATCCTCTTCTCCCCTTCCGCAGTCTGTAACAACCTGTCTCAAATCGCTGGAAGCTCAACTATTGTAAAGCATTAAATAGCTGTTCCAACAAAGGCAAGGGACTGCAAGAAGTTGTCGTCGGAAGGGCCGTGGGTCATTGGAGATTATGGGAGCAGCAACAACAAAGCAACTTCCATCCTCGGCTTTGATCCTGTGTCACTCATGCAGCAACCAAACATGAGCACTGCTATTGAGTGGGGAATATACGAGAAATTGGCTGCCTCATTTGGTGAACGAGCTTCAACGGCAATTGTTCTTTATTGTCACTGTCGTGATCAAGTACGTTGCAATTTATGATGAAATTTGGTTCCGGAAATGAAAGCATTGACTCGACAGCTTGTCTCCTTCTCAGGGCGCACAGGTGCGATGCCCATGCACTGGATGGTGGAAATGCACACGCCCTGTTTGGTCAACCTGCTTGGGGCCACGGAGGCAAACATTTGGCGATGGCAGCTACTAGTAGCTTAAGAAGCTACTAATAGCGATGGCCTCCAACCTAGTCGGAGGAAGAACATGCCCTTGTTACTAGTAAAGTAGCTTCTTGCCACTAGTAGTAAGGGCCTCCAACCTGATAGCGATGGCCTCCAACTTAGTCGGAAAGATAATATAGCATATATATGTCCGGATTCAAGTGTCGCGCTTTAGGAGGGAAATGGAGGGACAGTTGACTCCAACTTAAATGAACTGCACGAGCCGAGCCAAAAGAATCAAAGGGTGACGAGCACGCAAACATCTTATGTTCAAAACACGAAACTGAAACATTGCATTCTGATATATTCTGATACATTTCCCCACCCAACGGATTGATGGCCCCCCACTGTCCTCGCATGTCCAGCCATCAGGAAGATCTGACCACGGTGCTTCCACTGTGCTCGCATTGGTGATTTCATTCCAATAGTAGACGCGCCTCGTCACCGCAAGGACTCAAGAATGTTCCCAATACAAAGGCTAATACCTTTGAACTGGGGTGACTGGGGTGCCCCAAATGAAGATGAACAGTGTTGTGGTGGAAACCCACTCAGGTGGAAAACAGTTCGAATGCAATGTCGGGCTGGAAAATCGGTCCGAAAGAACGTGGCTGAAAGTGGCTGAAAGGCTGAAACAACTTGTTTGCTCCTAAATATGTTGCCTTGCATTTTGTGCCCACCTGATAGGTTTCGGCCAGGGTTTTTTCAGCAAGGTGTCTATTCTCAAGTATTTCTGTCTATCAAGCTAGCACAAAAGCACAATGCAACACATATGGGAGCACCTGAGGCCTTTCAGTTTTTCAGCTGATGGGTCTTTCAGCCAGCGTTCTTTCAAACCGGTTCTCCAGCCCACATGGATTCAAGCCTCCACCTTCAGGCGTGTTCGGAAGCCACTTAAAAGTCTGGGCACCCCAATTCCAAGGCATTGAACTGCTGCTTTCCGCCTGCCCACCAGAAATCTTGTTATGGATGTGCACGGGTTAATTGCTGGTTGCTGAAACACGCTGAATCTGCTCCGACCTGGAGCGATTGAAATCCAAGCAACCATGGACACTTATATACTTGCACATCACACGAAGGAAGGTCTTTGTCCCAACTTTTGCTGGATTCCAACTTATTACTGTAATCCTGTAGCTCTAGAATGGCTTCTCGAAGAGAATCATGCGCTGATTTACACCTGCTGTGCCTGTCAAATACATGTTCAGCAAGACTAAGATACGGAATATCTAACAAGACCACAGAGTATCTACAGTATCTGCATAGGATCTTTCGCAAGACGTGATGTGTAGTATGATACTCATTTCCCATCCACCGCATCTTGCCCCAGCAGTCGGGTTCCCACCCTGTTGTCCGAGAAGTAAAGCAAAACCAACCTGCACGGAAAGTGATTGGTGACTGCTTTGGGTGCATTTGTGCTTCTTTGAACATTCCACAAAATACGATTGCTAGCAACGACCAATGAAGCCATGCACCACTACTAACTGAATGTGAAAAGAATGAATCAAGTGCAGAATAACGAAACGTGGCAGCGAAGGCCTTCACCTTCTCTCACTTCTTGTTTGGCTTGGACTGGCGCTTGGACTTGTTCTTGGACTGGTCCACGGGGTTCTTGGTCGGGGGCAGGCACAGGCCGCTCGGTGAAGCAAAGCCTTGGATGGAGGAAGGCCAACCGACAAAACAAAAGGCATGAAAAGGTTGGATTCAAAGTAATGCTAATCCGTGCTGAGGTGTTAACTCTGTGTGTGAATCGCTACATAGCTTTAGCTAGGGGGGGCCATTTCGTTTGGGAACGCAAATGCGTATGCTGTATCATGAGCGTCTGGGAGAGGAGTGGGATTGCGAGAAAACATGGAAAACAAATGGTTTGCACATATCGATGTCTGACTATATTTCTCACTATCGTATCATTTGCATCACTAGGTCCATGAATGGCAAACACACGACTCCTCTGAGTCGCATTGTATAGTTTATTACAGTACGGTAGCATATGCGTCAGCTGGTTGCAAGTATACAGTCTATTGTACAAAATGCCTTCAAATAAGTGTAATTTGGACCCCCTGAAAAATGTACAATTTCAAGGGGGTCGAAAAATCGATCCAACAATGCTTGCCATTGCAAAATGCAAGTAAGAAATAACCACACAATGTATCACGGTCCAAAAATAGAGTGATTGTAGATATATACTTATTTTATGTTCTTTTACCCCTTCTCTGGGAGCCACTGGTGCGGGCGGTTGTTGTCGCGAAGCGACCTGAATTATAGTACTGAAGGCCCCTAAGAGGCAAATCTGAGCCGTTTCCGTGTTCATTCAAAGCAGGAAGCTTTGGACTTCAAGTAGCTCAAAGAATGTCAAGGAATAAAAGTACGTTCAAGAGCCCAATGTTGGGGTATCAGATTGGGCTCTTGAAGCTCCAACGCACATTCCAAGTTGCAGGTTGCCATCTTTGTGGAGGTGGACCTGGTGCTGAATGATCCAACCGGGAAATGTTGGGAAAGGGAACACCCTGGTGTCTAGGCCGCTGCTGCCTAGGCATTCTAGACTTTGTTGGACGCAGGAGGAAGCGCCCTCCCTTTGACCCGCTGTGGAATCAGTGAGAGTGTTATCCCGACTTGTTTACTCCAAAACATCACCTTTTTTTCCAATCTTGATGACACATCCGTTTGTCTGTGCTGGTTGATCATCCACGACATCCCAGTGTTCATAAATACACCTTCAAGCACATCATCAAGCCGATGCTGTTTTTGGGCTACCCCCCGCCGGACCACACCCTCTTCAACTAAAGCCACATCTTCGGTGAAGACGAGCACTTGCACTGTGGCACTGAATGCATCCTGCCCAATGCTTGGCTGATCCCAGAACGTAACGATGTACGAAAAAGTTGTGATAACGTGTTCGTGATGGCATAATATATAATGGATTAATTGGACGGACAATATTATTATGGTGTCAGTCTTGATTTGACATAAAACACTCTTCTAAAGTGAAGAGATGCAATAACAATACCCGATTGCAGCCAAAGTTGGTCCATCGTGTTAAATTTCATCAGGACACGACAAAACATTCGACCGCGGCATCGCAAACCTTGCACTGCAAAGGAATCCCCACACCCAGCTTTCTGCGGATGGCAAGCTGTGCCTGGAAATGGCACAGCACAATACATTTCAATGGTTGCACTAGCTGAGTCTTTCATCACCTCCAGACAAGACATAATGCTACATCCCTCGCTGAACTGTCAGTTTGGGGCCAGCTTTCGATTGTCGAAGGTATCACACGTGCACAAGCAAAACTGTAAGTAATTGTGAAGCTCAAATGCCTGATTGCTGTAGTTTGAGGATTCCAGTACAGGTGTTCCCAGCATTTGTGTCACAATATGGCACTGTTAGTCCTTGCACCGACGGCTCCGCCATGCGCCTCTGGAGATGTCAACTTGGGTTCGACTTTGAGGCGGCACTGCGCTTCCAGCAGCTTCAAAGGGTCAGACTTTGGACCGTATGCGGTCGCGCAAAGCTCAAGCTGAGTACCTGAGAGTTCAATTTGGAAGTCACACTGAAAAGAAAACCGAGAGGCTTAAACTTTGTTGAAAGGATCTTGAAAGAGACTAAAGGTAGAGAACAAAAAAGAAGAGAAATAGGTACCGGACAACAGCTTCTGATGGAATAAAACGTCTGTCCCGTTCAAAGTTTACTTGAATTGCGTAGCTGCGGGGGCAAGCAATGAACGAGGAAAGAGGTGCACGTAAAAGAAAAGAGTGGCTGAAGAACGTATGTTTCATGATCCAAGTGCAGTTGATGGAACAGAATTATAGAACTGAGTTATTCTAAGTGCAATTGCTCCACCGTGTCCATACACCAGGTATATCCGCTCCTGCAAACCAACAGAACAAAGTTGGACGGCAAACTCCAACGCAGTTGCATGGACATGCGTCGCTGCGTCGTTCTTTGTTGGAGAAACCAAAGGGGGTCAACCTTGACAGACATATTATACGGGCTCTGCTGAGCAACGCCTCACGCCGCATGCTGGTAGTTGTCCACATTTTGCTGTTGGGCACTCTTTGAGGCTCCGAACATCAAGCAATCAAGCCGATCAAGCCCACATGGACCCTTCTTTATCGTGGAGGTGCATGGCAAAGGAATACAACATGCTTTCTGAATCTTTCTCATGCTTTTTGAATGTTTCGGAAGCTTTATTTGCAACTGATTTTCCAAATCAACTGCCACTAAGAGCTTAATTAACCCAGGAAATGCACATGTGTGTGACCAACTCACTTGCTGATGAAAAAGTGACTCTCTCAAAAGAAGCAGGAGGTCTTGCTCTGCTTGTGGACTGTTGTATGGCCTTAAAGTTCAATGTTGTTCGTTGCCTGCATTCATCCTCACACGAGGTCTGGGTAAATCCTTCTGGCTCTGGCCGAAGGCGGTCAAGGAGTCATCAGCTAGCTTCAGACTCCCATGCCCACTCCTGATCCGTCTTCTCGAACAAGCTCTGGAAACACAAGAACATCTAGCTAAATTATTTGCCCTTGTCTCATTGTTTTGCTGCATTGACGGCATTGGGTTGGGATGGGTCTGCAAATCGTCTCATTTTCTGCTTGATTTCATCCACTCTTGGCGCGGCCAGCCATCGAAAGATGCATTGGTTGTGACATCCTTGGCTAAGGTCAAGCAAGGTGCCTTCCGAGGTTAAAGCATTGAAGAGAATTCAGTTGGCCAAAACAGTGCTCCCCTTGAAGCATCAGTTTGATTCAATGATTGAAATGGACCGTAGATGCACCAACCAGGGTACATAGTCCTGACATGTCTTGATCAGTGTTTCTCCTTGCAGGTCTTCTGCTTTAATCTCCATGGTACTGGTACTGCAACATCAGCAACCCAACAACTAACGTTTTCCTTTCTCTCTGTCAGATGGTGATATCAAAACCTCGTGTTGAAGACTTGATGCGTCACTTTTGGAGGATGTCTTGTGAGAAAAGTTAATTTTGAAGTGTTTTGCAAGAAGTCTCATATGTCACAATGTCCCAAACTTCACAAAATTAACAGCATTGACCCTTATGCAGCCTAGGACCCTGGCTGCTCAGACTCCGGTCTCAGTAATCTTGCCAGGTTGGGCTGAGCAGATGCCGTTGCTGCCGTCTCCCCCAAGTTTGACCTCAAGGCGTTTGCAGGACTTGAATTTTGGCTTTGAACTGTCACTCCTGAAATAGCAATTTCATGCAGTTAATTTGTATATATATATATTGTGCTTGCCAACCTTTCACACGCTTATAGTTGATTCCTATTATGTTTCACTGTTATTCAGCTTGTTCTGTTTCAAGACCGACCTTTAGAGTATACTGTATACTTATTTACAATTTCCTGTATGTAGATGTATAGCTTAACTATGCTTAACTTAAATAATTGAATTGAATGTTCTAGTAAGCCACATGATGTTTACATTATTCGTACATTGTAACTTATACATACTTGTGTTTTATGTATTATATAATATATATACACATAAATTAACAATTAAACACGATTAATTACTAGGGGGACGTGAAATGCCACAATCTACAGTAAGGCGCCAGGATGCAGGTTAAAGCTTTGGTGCCAGGCGCCTTGTTTGGGAACTTAACTACCTTCCTTGATTTCTTCCCCTTTTCTCTAAAAGTGATCTTATCTCGCTACTAGTGACAAGAAGCTACTAGGTGGAGGCCATCGCTATTAGGTTAGAGGCCATCGCTACTAGTAACAAAACTAAGATCACTCAAAGAGACACGTTCTCCTCGCCTCATGCGCACAAAGGGATGGCGCAGCTGCGTCGATACCACCGCTGGCTGGCGGAAACCAGGCGAGACGGATGGGCTACACATCAGCTGCTCCTCAGTAAGGTAAGGAGAATCAAACAAGGAAACTCTTTATTTTGCAAATCAATGTCAAATGACACATAAAAGGCTCAAGATGGTTTTATGGGTTGAATCTGTTGATGTAAAATGTAATTACTTGATGTAGTTGAAGCTACTGACCAAACAAGTGCTTTGAATCGTTCAGCGACTCAAAAGATTTCAGTCCATGACCATCTCACAGAATATCATCAAGCACTTGCCTTCAAATACCGACAGGTTGCAACTTGGGTTCATGTGCAGCCCTTTGCCAAACTGACTGACTGTTGTTGCAGAATTAAAGAATTGTATATGTATTCATATATATATATTTACATATCATTATATCATACTATATATTAACCTCTACAAAAAGGGCTACGTTTGAAGATTGTAGAAGATCGTACAGTATAACAAGTATGTCTGAATCCTTTGCCAAGGTGGGCACTAGGTGCCATCAGGGTCGCTATGAAAATCTTGAATTCACGTGGTGTCCAAGCATCGGCGACAACATCCTTCTCAAGTGACTCCTCTCCAGACCTGCAGTGAGAAATGAAGAACACAATGATACATTATGATAGCAGTATGATGGAATGTCTTGTGGTCGTTGATATTCGTTGATGAGATACAACTTCATGCAGAACATGTCGGACAAAGCAAAATCAAAAACTTCCTGTCAAATCTTAAAGCACAAACAAATCCATGGGATGATGTTCGAGCCCTTGAGCCGTGCGACAAAAGGTTTGAGAGAATCTGCGAGATGTGCACCACACCTGCAGCAGGTGAGACATGTCGCCATCCCGCATCATCCCACAACGACCGATTGCCGGACTGCGATGAAGCAGGATTGTTGTTGCCGGACTGCGATGCAACACATCAGTGAACCAAAAACAAGACAGGTCAAGAAAGGAATCCCTGTCAGATATTCATCATGTGATCTTCCGAGACCTTTGCCTTCAAACTCTTGGCCCCGGCAAAGGAAACACCTTGAACCACCTCGACTACCTTGAACAATAATCACTCACTTGCAGCAACCCTGAGTTCCACAGTTCGATCTTGACACAACAGCATGATATATGATGATAATATGCACGAATCGTCGAGAGAAGTCGAGAGTTTCACCTACTGCAAAATCTGTGAAGGAAAATGGTTCTGCCAGAGGAGTCCGAAACATTACCACCAATACCATAAGACCCTAAAATGGCTTCTTGCATGCTCTTGCCAAATATACTATACACTTTGCCATCTGTCCGGGCTCGCATGATCCAAATTTCACCTCGTCAATTGCCCTTTCGCGCTTCTTTTCCGCCCCACCTCGGACCACTGCGCTGCTCCGATCCAAGGAGATGGGGCGCACCACCACGGCACTACTTTGGCCCGAGCTCCGGAGCTTCCGCACCGCGTCCAAGAGCGTGTCCTTACGACTTCAGTCCAAGCAAAGAGCGAGGGCCTCCAACCTACAAGGAGTCAAACATGTCCGTGAAGTAAAGGATCCCAATGGGCACAGCCCAGTGAAATACGAACTCCACACCTCAGTGGCAAATAACCGTGTCCAAACCCAGACTGCACGAGCTCAAGACGACTTTGCTCAACCCCGTGCGACTTGACGCAGTTACCCAGTAAGGTGGCTAAGCCAAGTTTGCCGTCCATTGCTCATGATCATGATCATATTATACAATTTTCATGGCATCGTATGATGGTTCAGTCAACCCCCTGGGTGAAGACCATGAATATCGGGGAACATGCTGCTGCTGCTGCTGC